TAGAATAATAAAAAAGATAATTATTAAAGAAGGTAAAGAAGTATTAAATACAGCTCTCAAAGAACTTGAATAGAAACTTATAATCGCAGAAGAGATAAAAAAAAGTGAAACAAAGTCTAATAAAAAAGAGAATTTAATAATAACAGAAGTTAAGTTATAGTTAAAAGAAGCCTTACAGGAAGTAACTGATTTAGTAGCTCAGAAGATAACTGCAGAGACTTCTAAGACTAACTTATCTCTAACCAAATTATCTAAAGTAGAGAGAGTAGAGAACATCACAAATTTAATAATCTTAAAAGAAATTAAGTATCTAAATAGGAAATCACAATATATAATAAAATAGTAGTTGATATCCTATTTACAGATAGCAAGTTAGAAGAAGTTTATAAAATATCTAATTCTCAAAAAAGTAGCATAGCTACAAGTATACATTTAGTAGATAGTAAGATTAATTCAATAAGTACAAAATCTGCAGTAAATAAGCTTAATGATTTAGCCTTATATACAAAAGATATAATTTTTGAAGATATAGATAATACTCTACTTGGAACTTCACAAAAAGAAATTAATGATCCAAAAAAATATTAAAAAAGCAACTAGATTATATAGTTACAAACTATAAGGAACTACAGGAAATATCACTAAAAAATAGTCTGTAGGTACCAAACAAAAATATCTGTGAAGAAATAGGTGAATATAAAGCAAAGATCTTTTTATTTTACTTCTTGAAAAATCAAAAGAAAAATGAATCAAATTCGTAAAAGGAACATTATATAAAAGCAATCATATAAGTAAGATTGCAGAATATTTTGAAAATAAAAACAGCTAAGTAGTTATCAAGTTTGATTGCTTCAAAGGTTTAAATATTTTGAGAAAGAAGTTTAAAAAAAAGAAGATTGAATAGTATAATATAATCTTCAATGATTATAATTTATCAATGATCTAGAAGTCCTCTTCAAGAAGCTACAGAAACTAAACTTAGTAAAACCTGTAAACAAGATTTTTGCTCAGAAGGTCACCAAGCTACAGGCTACAAAAGGAAAAACAAGCATATAGCTAGAGAGATTAGCTAACAAAAAAAGAAAAGATATAATTAAAAAAAATGTAATTATAATGTGGAACCTTCTAAAAAAGATGAAAAGAATACATATCTTTGAATAGGTATAATACTTAGGAAGAGTTAGTCATATTGAGATATTTAGAGAAATACAAAGAAAAATATACACAGAAATTGAATTTATACTAAATGCTATCTTTGTTTTTTTTTTTTATATTATTAAAGTGGCTTACATTGCTGAAGGAATTTTATTAGAATTGCATACAGGATATACATTGATAATCCCTACTGTTTTGTAATTACATGAAGAGTATACAATAAGCCACATGTACAACTTTAGTCATTATCTAATTTAAGTAGTCCGCTGCATAAACAATTAGACCATCTGATTAGTTTACACTATGCTGCTATATCTGTAACCTGCCTGTGAGTTACCTATTTAAATATTCTG